AAGTATAAGTCCACAATATGCATTAATTTAATGAGCAAGCATAAATGAGTAGATACCTTACCTCTGTGATGATCCTCATTACCTTTGCGATGTCCTGCCTCCTTTGAACACTCCCCCCAAGAGCGAAAGTATTTCTCCTAATAAACCTCCTCCCGTTTAATCTTCTTCTCCCACCCCCCCCAAGAGCGACAGTTGTTTCTCTTAAAAATCCCAAAGAGTTGTTTTCACTGTCTGCTCATTTTTAACTATGTTCCACCTCATTGGCTCGTGTCAATTAGCCTCGCCAACAAACTGAGACACTATTTTTCTGATACCACAACATATGTACATGTAAAAATGGGGCACTCAAAGGTAACCTAACTGCATCTCCCTCAAATATACGGATACTGTTGTGGTTGTGATGCGTCGCGTGGCATGGCGTGGCGTGTCGTGTCCTGTCGTGTCGTGAGTATCCTTATTCGAGGTCTACATGCTACATCATTTAGCAATTTGAGTTGAACGCAGTCGATGTTACAATTATGAGAACATTGAAGAGACTCCAAGAAAGCTCTTAATAGTCTGATCAAGAAGACGATTCCTTTCTTCGACGTCCCCATTCACAGGAATACGGCAAGGGCACTGCTAAGAGGGCGTCTCGACTACGCCGTTTCATAAACCTTCCCAGCATCGACAGTATGGATGTTATTCTCTAAAAACACAGTTTTATATGGAGAAGGAAAAGACTGGTTACCTATTCCGACTACCTCCATGTGCAGTTACTCATTTACTTGCTCCTATGGAGCAGGTTATATCGCTCGCAAGGGTCGGTGCTTCTCCACGCGAATAAGGGAACACGTCTTGACACAGCTGAGAAAACGCAAAGTCAAACGTATATACAGTGCTTTTTTGCAGAAATTGGCGCTCCCAGGTATCGTGCAGACCCCAACGAGGCCTTTCTTATGATTTATAAGTTTCACTAAGATTACTCCAAGGCACTGAGTCAGAGTCTACTAGCTACAGTAGAAGCGACTGTCATCAGGTTGAGTAAGCCAGTCCTATGTCCAAAAAAGAACCCCCCCCCTGCAAGCTCCGTAGTTAGTAGGCCAACGACCGCTTAAGTTGCGAAAATTCCCATCATAGAATTCAGATATCCAGTTTGGCGAGTATACGTGTACTTTCGACAAATTCTCGTCAGGCCTTA